TAGTTAAACATACATAATAATCAAAAGACTTATCTTTCACACAAATCCTTTCCAAAACCCAAACGGTTCCCAGTCACCACAAGCTGACCTCTGATCTAGCCCTCATCCTCAAGCTGACTGCACTCCCTCTCTCTCCCCCTCTCTCTTCCATCTAGTGGTGTCTAGAATCACCACCCCAGTTTCAGTGGCCTCCAACAGAAACCGCGCCTCACCTGTCCTTTCTAAAATTTTTGTTTTGCGTTTACGACCGCATACCCCAACCCATCTCAGGGGGTGCTGATTGGCAGCACCGAGACTCAAGATAATTGTGACCCAAACCAACAAGGCGTCAATTCTCCCCCAAAAGTTAGAAAGGAAGGAGACATCTTTACATTAAAGTTTGAGTATTTTAAGGGACATGACCCCACACTCACAATCGTTTCATCGTTTTCAAAATAAACTTGAGAAAGTTCACGCTCTCAGCAGCCCTCCCGGCCCCCTGCCTTGCCCCGGGCTGTTCTCGACTCGTGGATATTGGGGCAGCTCTGCCTCCCGGTTCCGCCGCCGGGGCTGAGCACCATTGGGCTCCGTGCGACCTTAACAGGGGCTGTCCCAACCCCTCAACCCATCAACTCAGTTGCCTCCTACCCCCTCGAAACTCCAGCAGTCCTCATATCCCCTCCTGCCGCCTCTCGCTCTGCTTCTCTACCAGGCTCCTTTACGCAGCCCAGCCTCCGGCCCCAGCTCGCCGCTCCAGCCTAGGCCGCTCTCCTACGCGCTCCCTACTTCCCCCGTACACATCCCAGCTCAGAATCCCCAACCACTCGCACTAGACTTTCTCCCTCCCAAAGAAACACCCTTCACCGCTCTCTCCTCTTCCTTCTCCCACCTCCTCTTTTCCATTCGTCCCTCCCGCCCGGACGCCGGGCCTTCCTCTGGCCCTCCCCCTCACCTCGTTTCCATCCTCCAGCAGCAGCCACCCGGCGCTCATCCCCACGCGCCGCAAGCACCAGCTCCGGCCACCGGGGCGGTCTCCCGTGACCGAGGAGCCGGGGTCCCCCATAGCCCACTCGGCCCGGGGCGCAGTCAGCACAGAGCGAGACCCGGACCCGGGTTCCCGCCGCCTCTTCGCTTCCTCGCGGGCACCATACCTACACAACAGGCGGAAGCAGTCACTACGCGCTCGCGATCTGAGCGAACTCTCGCTCGGGCTCCGCCCCAAGCCCGCCCCTGGCCGGCAAGCCGGAGTCTTTGCGCCTGAGCAGGAGGAGGGCTGCGGCAAGGGAGGAGCAGGTGTGGGTGGTATAGCCCAAGGTCTGGCGCCTCTGGCCCGAGGCACTCCAATTCTCCCGTCGCAACTTCATTACTCTCTCTAGAACCGCCACCCAGTCCAAGATGCCCTAAACGAGGCTCTTCTCACTTTTCCTCTTTTTTTTCAAATTTTGCTTTACGATGATTTTCATGTTTTTTAAAATTACAGCCAACTTTTTAAACAACTTTTAACTTGTGATAATTTTTAAATCTATTGTCTTTATAAATTGCATCTCTTTTGCATGATCTTTTACAAGTGAATTTTTAAAAACTTATACTGTACTTGGCAAATCTATCAGAGGCAGAAAGCATAGTTATCTGGGGCTAGGTGTGAAAGCCAGGAGTTGAATGCAGACGGACTTGAGGGAATTTTGGGGGCTGATAGAAATGTTCTAAAACTGGATTGTGGTGAACACCTGAACATAATATTGTAAACTATATTTCAACTAAAAATGAATGAAAACAAAACTGAATTATAGTAATGATTGCACAACCATATAAATTTACTAAAATGTCCTCGAAGCATGCACTTGCAATGGGTGAATTTTACGGTATGCAAATTAGCCTCAATAAAGCTGTTAATTAAAAAAACAGAATAAATTCAGACTCTTTTCTTTGAGTCTCCAGTACAGTCTGGTAGTTTCTCCCTGTAGTGACTATGTCGGTAATAAACTAATGCCCTCTTTTGTTTTTTCAGTTTTCCAATACCTGGTTAACAATTTTCTTAAATTGTGTCAGGAGAAAATACATATACTAAGTGAATCATACAAAGTGCAATAGTTGATGGCTAACATTTATTGAGGGCCAAGTGCCAAGTATTAGGCCAAGCATCCTATGTACCTTATTCTATTTACTCCTCACAAACAATATGACGATGGCGATTACAATTATAATTCCTACTTTAGGATTGATGAGAAAAGCAGCACAGAGAGTTTTAGTAATCTTCCCAAAGTAACAAATTAAATAGTGGAGGAGGTTGCCAATTCAGATCTATTTCCAGAAGCTACTTTCCCAACCATGGTTGCAGTCCCAGCCTGGAGCGTTCTGTCTGTGTGGCATTGTCAGATCAAGAATTTCTACAGAGAAAAAAATGTGACAATGAGTGTGTATATGTCCATGAATGACTGAAAAATTGTGCTGAACACTGGAATTTGACACAACACTGTAAAATGATTATGAATCAATAAAAATTACTGAACCTCTCAAAAAAAAAAAGAATTTCTGCCTTTGTTGTCACAGAGAGTCAGGAAAAACACACTTGAAGTGAAGGGAAAGACAGAAGTTCTCAGCAGAGAAACAGAAAATATACACAGAATCAAATGGAAATGTTAGAATTGGAAACCACAATATCTGAAATAAAAATTCACTGTATGAGTTTTAGAATGGAGATCACAGAAAAGGAGTCAACGAACTTGAAGACAGATGAAGAAAAAGTATCTAATCTGAAGAACAGAAAGAAAAAAAAGATTAAAAAAAACTCCAATGAACAAGAGTCTTAGAGACTGCGGGTTCAACATTCCTGTCATTAGAGTCCCACAAGTAAGAGATTGGTGCAGAAAGAAATATTTGAAGAAATAGTAGCTGAAAGCATCCAACTTTGGTAAAAGGCATGAAATTACAGATTCAAGAAACTAAGTGTAACCCAAACAGGATAAATGCAAAAACAAAAAACAAAAAAAACCCTCCAAAAACCAAAAAACAGAACAACCTACAGACACATAATCAAACCCAAAGAAATAGAGAAAAATCTTGACAGTCTGAGAAACAATATGGCAGCTCCTCAGAAAATTAAAAATAGAATTACCATATGATCCAGCAATTCCACTTCTAGATATATACACAACAGAATTGAAATCAGGGTCTCAAAGAGATATTTATGTACTCATGTTCATAGCAGCATTATTCAAAATAGCCCCCCAAATGGAAGCAAGCCAACTGACCATTGACAGACGAATGGAAAAACAAAATATGGCATATATATATACATATATATATACACACACATATACACACACATATATACAATGGAATATTATTCAGCCTTAAGAAAGAAATTCTGATATATGCCAAAACATGGATGAATCTTGAGGACCTTATTATGATAAGTGAAATAACACCTGTCACAAAAAACAATACTGTTATTATTCCACTTACACGATGTACCTAGAGGGGTCAAATTCATGGAGACAGAAAGTAGAATGGTGGTTGCCAGGGGGTGGGGGCAGAGAGAAATAGACAGCTATTATTAGTACAGAGTTTCAGTTTTGTAAGATAAAAAGAGTTCTGGAGATAGATGGTGGTGACAGTTGCACAAAAATGTGAATGTACTTCACACTACTGAACAGTATTCTTAAAAATTAAGATGGCAAATTTTATGTCATGTGTGTGTATACTGTGCTATAACTTTTTAAAAAGCAGTCTGAGAAAAATGATTAATTACATATAGAACAATGATTTCAATGGCAGTGGATTTCTCAACAGAAACTGTGGAAGCAGGAAGACAGCGGGACAGCATCTTTAAATTGCTGAAAGAAAACTGTATCCAGAGAAAATAAATTCAGGATTGAAGGCAAATTAAAGATAATTCTCAGGTGAAGGAAAATTAGGAGAATTGTTAGCATATTTGCTATAAGAGAAGTGCTCAAGGAAGTTTCTCGGGCTGAAGGGAAATAATAGCAGAGGGAAACTTGGGACTTAAGGGATCAAGGAAGCACACAAATGGTAAATGTCTCCTCTTAAATTCTTTAAAATATGTGTAACTATTGAGAATGAAACTTAGTATCTGGTGACATTTGCAAAGTATCTCAACATAATTCACACAACAACTATAACATAAAAGGGGAAGGGTAAAAGGCACTATATGGTTATGAGGCTTCCACATTTTACCTGAAGTGATAAAATAGTAACTGTAAGTAGTTAGATATGTATATTGTAACCCTTAGAGCAAGCTCTTAAAAAATGAGATAATAACCAAAAGCCAATATATGTATTAAAATAAAATGCTAAAAATAATTCAAATAATCCAAAAGATGACAGGAAAGGGGAGAGACAGGAACAAAAAACAAAGGGAACAAACAGAAAACAAATAAAATAGTAGACCTAAATCCAACCATATTTATTTTATTTGTAAATGGGAGAGGGAAGGTATAGGTCAAGTGGTAAAATGCATGCTTAAGCATACACAAGGCCCTAGGTTCAATCCCCCAGTACCTCCTCTAAAAATAAACAAATAAGTAAACCAAATTACTTCCCCGCCAAAAAAACAAATAAAAAATTTTAAAAATATATTACTTGTAAATAGTCTAAATGCCATCAGTTAAAAAGAAGAGACTGTCAGATTGGATTGGAGAACAAAACCCATCTATATCCTGTCTCTATGAAACCCACATAAACATAAAGACAAGGTTAAAAGCATGGAGAAAAACTTTGCAGACCAGAGGTTTGAAGAGCAGGTCTGGGTTTTCCTCTTGGAGAGCTGGGTCAGGTGGGACAGGTGTGTTAGGGTCACTATAGAGACAAGCTTAGTATCCCAACAGCAGAAGTGGTGAGTCCCCAAGGTCTGGCTCCCAGACTCCCCACCTCAGCTGTCAATTCAAGCAGGGAGTTTCACACTCATCACCCAGAAGCCACAGCTCAAAACCACCTGCGGAACCACAGTAAGCAAGGGTTCTCCTTGCTTCCAAGAATTCTAATTCAGCCTTTGCCAAAATAGGAAGCCACTCCAATTGGCTGTAGCTGTGGCTACCCTGGCAAATTGGCACAGGCTCCAAAGAGCCTGGTTTTGTATAATGTGCTTTATGTTCTCTGATTCTGTGTGACTCTCATCTTTTCATCATGAGTCTAATGTATCCTCTCCTTGGTGTCCATGGCAGCTTTCAAAACTGTCTCCAAACAGAAAGGGAGTGTTGGAAGTCCTGAGGAGAGAGGTATGACTCTAATCACGAAGATTTACAAAGCTGTGCAACATGCAAAATACAATCTAAGACAAGCCAAATGCTGTCAACAAGAGGCTCATGCCTCTAGGAGCAGAGGTCACTATTTGAGGAATCTGGGACATTGTTCCTTCGCAGATGAATAAAAACAGAGGTGGGGCTGACTTAAGTAGAATTGTAGAGATTTTGATTGCAGAGAGGTTGGATAAATTATAGATCAGACTATGCCAGGATTAGTTTGAAAGTTTTCACACATTTCCTAACCATGGTCAAACATATTTCAGAAAATGCTTGACATCCCATGTACATGAAAAACAGAATTTTTGAATGAAGGTAAGTCCAGGTCAGTTATTTTCTCTACCAGGCGCAGGAACAATTAATGGCCTCAGTCCAAATACTATCACGTAGAAGTACTGTCCATGTTTTATGAAAAAGGTTAAATTCCAAGGTTACTTGTGAACAGTCACTTGAAGTTCAGCCAGATCCATCACCTACTCCCAGATGCTTAGGGGAAATCTGGTCTTTATTTTCATAAGTTCTTATTGCAAAGATGGCTACTTGAACCCTAATGATCTATTTTCCCCTTCCTCCATTGTATAGAGTCCTGATTTTGAGCCAAGCATATGGCTGCATGGAATAGACTAATTCCCCACCCTCTCTTGCAACTAGGTGTGACCTACCATGGGACTAAGCTCTGGCCTGTGAGTCATCTCAGAGCAGGTATTATGAAGCAGCTTTCCGGAATTGTCTATAAAACACTACTTGCACGTTTCCTTCATTCTTTTTTGGCTCCTTTCTTTAATCCACCCAGTTGCTTGGAACGTAGATGTAGTAGCTGAAGTGCTAGCTGCCTTCTTGACCATTCAGACCTGAAGGAGTCCAGGTTCCTGAAGACTCTGTGAAACAGACTCATCACACCAGCCCTGGGCTGCCTACTTTTGGACTTTTAT